ACCCCACCCCACCCCACCCCACCCCATCCCATCCCGTCCCATCCCCAGGGGTAACGATTGGCTCCCACCCCCGCTGACGGTGCCGCTCTCACCCGGTGTCTGCTGCTCGGCCCCGTGCCGGGTGCGGGAGCTCAGGGAGCAGGCGGGGGCCGTGGGGAACGCGACCCTCCCGGCGCGCTCCGGCCAGTACCGGGCTGCGGGGGGAGCCTGCCCCGCCGCGCCCATGGAGGGGCCGGGGGGGTCTCACCTGGGCCGGGGCTGCTGAAGGGCCGCGGCTCCCGCGGGCGCTGCCGATGGAGCAGGCGGGGGCCCGGCGGCAGCGGGTACCGGGGCCGGGAGCGCTCCTGCGGCCGCGCCTGCACCCGCAGCCCGCAGCTGAGCGCGGGGCGCGCTCCCGGGACCGGTCGTGCTCGCGGAAACCTGCGGGGCCGGCACGGGGGCGGTGGCGGGACCCCAAGCACCGCAACCCCACAGCCCCCCCCCCACACCACGGACCCCCCGCATCCCCCCGCTCCCCACATCCCCTTCAGCCCCCGCAGCCGCACTCACCGACGCCGCTCGGGAGCCCGTACTTGGGGCCGGGGCTCGTGTAGAGGGCGGCGATGGGGCCCCGCGGGCGGTGGGGCCTCCAGCTGCACACCCAGGGGCCGTCCGACATGGGGGACACTGCGCGGCCGCGCCTGCACCCGCACCTGAGTCCAGGCGGGGGCGCGCTCCCGGGACGTGGAAACCTGCGGGGGGACACACTGCGGGACACGGGACACGGCACCGAGACACGCCCATCCTGCGGGACAGACCGGCACCGGATCCTGCGGGACACGGGACACGGCACCAGAGCCGCGGGACCGCATCCTGGGACACGGACACACCAGAGCCTGCGGGACAGGGGACACGGTACCGCGGGACACGGGACCTCCAGAGCCTGCGGGACACGGGACACGGCACCAGAGCCTGCGGGACACGGGACACGGCACCGCATCCTGCGGGACACGGGACACGGCACCGGATCCTGCGGGACACGGGACACGGCACCGGATCCTGCGGGACACGGGACACGGCACCAGAGCCTGCGGGACACGGGACACGGCACCAGAGCCTGCGGGACACGGGTGCCTCTCACAGGCAGGGACACGAGGCTCTGCAGCCCCGCAACAGCGGCAGCGGTTGGCACCAGCACCTTGTCACTGGTATCACGATGGATGGGAGTTCTGGGATCCTGCAGCCCCTGGAATCCCCCTTTACACCCAGCACCCCATGGACACAGACCCCAGGACACTATGGATACAGCCCCCAGCACCCCATGGATGCACCCCGATACCAGGGGTCCCCCATCATGGGTGCATGTCCCTCTGCAGCCCCTCACCCTGCACAGTCCAGCTTCAGCCTCTCTCCTCCCCCGGTTACCGGGGCACCGGCACAACAAAACACTGGGCAGCACGGGGCAGGGTGAGGGTTAGAAGGACACGGGGACATAGGACATGGGTCCTATACATGGGTATGGGACCTGGCAATGTATGTGGGGAGGAGGAGAAAATCAGGCTGAGAACATTAGGGCTGTTCAGCCTGGAGAAGAGAAGCTGCGTGGAGACCTCAGAGCAGCTTCCAGTATCTGAAGGGGGCTACAAGGATGCTGGGGAGGGACTCTTCATCAGGGACTGTAGTGACAGGACAAGGGGTGATGGGTTCAGACTGAAACAGGGGAAGTTCAGGTTGGAGATAAGGAAGAAGTTCTTTACTGTGAGGGAGCTGAGGCGCTGGCACAGGGTGCCCAGAGAAGCTGTGGCTGCCCCATCCCTGGCAGTGTTCAAGGCCAGGTTGGACACAGGGGCTTGGAGCAAGCTGCTCCAGTGGAAGGGGTCCCTGCCCGTGGCAGGGCTTGGAGCTGGAGGAGCTTTAGGGTCCCTTCCAACACAAACCAGCCCGGGATTACCAGCTCCTCCTCCAGCCCACCCCGCCCCATGGCCAGCACCTCGTACCTCGGGCACCCGAGTGGGTGGCACTGGGTGGCTCCCATCACCCAACGCACGTGCCATAGGGCACCCAAACCTTACTGCAAGAGCCCAGCACAGATTCACGGGGGTGGAACCAGCCCCAGCGCTGAGCGCGGCCCCGGCTCCCGCACAGCCCCGCGCCCCTGCGGCCAGGCCCGGCACCGCCTCCCCCGCAGCCTCCGCTCCAAACCCTGCAGCGGGATTCAGGATCACAGGATCATGGAGCGGACCGGGCTGCTAGGGACCTGAGAGCGCATCGAGCCCGAGCCCGATCTCGATCCCGCTCCCGATCTCGATCCCGCTCCCGGTCCCGATCTCGATCCCGATCCCGTTCCCAGTCCCGATCCCGATCCCGGACCCGATCCCGATCTTGATCCCGATCCCGATCCCAGTCACGATCCCGATCTCGATCCCGGTCCCGATCTCGATCCCGCTCCCAGTCACGATCCCGATCCAGATCCCGGTCCCGATCCCGCTCCCGATCTCGATCCCGCTCCCGATCTCGATCCCGATCCCGCTCCCAGTCCCGATCCCGATCCCGGACCCGATCCCGATCCCGATCTCGATCCCGCTCCCAGTCCCGATCCCGCTCCCGATCCAGATCCCGCTCCCGATCCCGCTCCCGCTCCCGCTCCCGCTCCCGATCCCGATCCAGCCCCGCGGCCTTGCCTCCACTCCCCCCTCCTGCAGCCGCCCTGCCGCGGCAGCCCATTGGCGGGGCTCTGCAACGTCACCACCGGACGCGCTTTCCCATTGGCCAGGCAGGGGCTCCGCTCCGCCCCTCGGCCCGCCCGGCGGACGCGGCGGCAATGGCGGCGGGACGGGAGTGGAGCGGCGGTGCCGGGGCCGTGCCGGTGCCGGTGCCGGGTACCGAGGCCGTGCCCGTGCCCGCCGCCACCCGCCTGCGTGCCTTCGCCTGGTGCCGGGAGTTCCTGGCCGGTTCCTGGAAGCTCATTGCGCCTGACGAGTTCGGGATCGAGCCCGTCAGGTACGAGCCCCGGTCCCTGCCCGCCCCGGTCCCTGCGCCCACCCCGCCCCGTGCCCGCGGTTACCCCTGCCCGGTGCCGCCCCAGCCCACGTATCCCCATCCCGCTCCCACTGCCCTCCCCTTGCCCCCATACCGGTGTCCCAGGCTCCCTCGCAGTCGCTGCCCCAGCCAGTCCCTGGCTCCCTCGCAGTGTCTCCCGGTGTGCCTGCCCAGTTGCCCTCTAACTGGTGTGCCGCTCCCGTTCCCAGTATCCCCAGTTGCCTACCCAGCCGGTGCCTCTGTCCTCCTCTCGGTGTGCCCCAGTTGTTCCTGACCAGTGGCCCAGTCACCCTCCCAGTGTCTCCCGTTTGCCCAGCCCCGAGTGTCCCAGTCCCTCTCCTACCGTCCCGCTGTTGTGCCGCCCTTACCAGCGTCCCAGTGTTCCCGAATTGCCCTGGCTGGTGTCCCAGTGACCCCAGTTGCCCAGACACCCCTCCAGTGTCCCGGTGCTCTGCCAGATGCCCCTGTCGTGATGCCCCCATTGCCCCGCTGTCCCCCATGGCCCCACTGTCGCGGTGCCCAGTGTCCGTGGCTGACGCGGGGCCGCAGCGGGGGGCTCAGCAATCTGCTGTACAAGTGCTGGCTGCCAGAGCGAGTGCTCAACGTGGGGGACGAGCCACGGCAGGTCCTGCTGCGCATCTATGGGGCCATCCTGCAGGTCAGCACCCACACCCCGGTACCCCCAGCACCCCCTGGAACCCCCCAGCACCCCTGGGAACCCCCTTACCTCACGGTAACCCCAGTATCCCTCAGTCTCCCCCCACCCATCACCCTCCAGCATCTCTGACACCCCCCGGCTCTCCCCACCACCCACAATCACCCCTCAGTACCCCCCAGCTCCCCTCAGCATCCCCAGCAACCCCCCATAGCCCCATCAGTCCCCAGCATCTCCGACACCCCTCTGGCACTCCCAGCACTCCCCATCCATCACCCCTGGCACCCCCATACCCTGTGGAACGCCCCCGAACCCCCATACCCTGTAGTACCCCCTTATCCCACTGTGCAGGGCCTGGACTCGCTGGTGCTGCAGAGCGTGATGTTCGCTGTGCTGGCGGAGCGAGCGCTGGGGCCGCGGCTCTTCGGCGTGTTCCCGGAGGGGCGGCTGGAGCAGTACATCCCGGTACAGACCTCCGGGGGAGCCTCACCCCTGCCTGACACCCCCCCGGGGCCACCACCCCACTGACACACACACACCCCCCCCCAGAGCCGGCGCCTGCGCACCGAGGACCTGCGGGACCCCGACATCTCAGGGGAGATCGCGGTGAAGATGTCCCGGTTCCACGGCATGGTGATGCCCTTCAACAAGGAGCCCAAGTGGCTCTTCGGGACCATGGAGTGGTGAGGGCGGGCGCCGTGCGGCTCCTCGACGCCTGGAATCCTGTGGGATCCAGGAGCAGGGCGCGTGGAGGCTCCCCAGTGGCCCTGGCTCTGTGCTGGGGACCCAGGGGATGTGGTGGGGAGGCAGCACCCAGGGGTGTCCATCCAACCACCAGCGCCGCACTTGTCTCCCACCCTGCAGGTATCTGAGGCAGATCTCGGAGCTCACCTTCCCCCAGGCAGAGCAGCTCAGGAAGTTCAACCAGCTCAGGATGTACAACCTGGAGGCAGAGATGAGGAGCCTCCGGTGAGTGGCACCGCACTGGTCCTGTCTCCTTGCTGAGCTCCTCACAGGAGCCAGGGAGAACCCGGCTTCTCTGGACGTGGTCTCTTCCATCCCATGCCCTTGGTGGGTGTCACCATGGGACGGCTCTTGGGAGGGTCCCCACATCCCTGGGGCAGGGTCTCTGCCATGTTAGATATGAGGCAGAAGCTCTTCCCTGGGAGGGTGCTGAGGCGCTGGCACAGGGTGCCCAGAGAAGCTGTGGCTGCCCCATCCCTGGCAGTGTTCAAGGCCAGGTTGGACACAGGGGCTTGGAGCAAGCTGCTCCAGTGGAAGGGGTCCCTGCCCGTGGCAGGGGTCGGAGCTGGAGGAGCTTTGAGCTCCCTTCAACACAAACCATTCCATGGTTCTATGCTCCTGAAGCCTGGATCCCAGCTGTGTCCATAGCTCTGTCCACCCACATGCAGCGGTGGCACTGGTGGTGACACTGGTGACCCCCATGTCCCTGTGGCTATCTGAGGTGTCCTCCCCATTCCCATCCACAGGGACCTGCTGGAGTCCACCCCTTCGCCCGTGGTCTTCTGTCACAACGACGTGCAGGAGGGTGAGTGGCTGTGGCTCCCCCCAGCTCCAGCATTCCTGGTGGGACACCCCCAGACCCCATCTCCCCACAGGGAATGTCCTGCTGCTGGCTGGGCGTGAGGCCTCCTCCTCTGACAAGCTGATGCTCATCGACTTTGAGTACAGCAGCTACAACTACCGGTGCGTTGGGGCCCCCATGTCCTTCCCTGTGTTCCCAGTCTGCTGGGGCCGGGACTCAGCTCCTCTGGACCCTTCCGCAGGGGCTTCGACATCGGGAACCACTTCTGCGAGTGGACCTATGACTACACACACCATTCCTGGCCCTTCTTCAAGGCTATCCCAGAGAACTACCCCAGCCGGGAGCAGCAGGTAGAGCTGGGGGGGCATCGGCTGCATCCCAGATCAATGGAGTGAGCCAATGGGATGGGGTTCAATGAGGCAAACTGCACTTGGGGCACACCAGCCCCCTGCAGTGCTCCAGGCTTGGGAAGAGCGGCTGGAAACTGCTCATGGGAAAGGAGCTGAGGGTGCTGATTGATGGAGCTGAACGTGAGCAGCTTGTGCCCAGGCAGCCAGGAAGCCCCCAGCATCCTGCCCTGCATCAGCACCAGTGCGGCAGCAGGGCCAGGGCAGGGATTGTGCCCCTGCACTGGGCACTGGTGAGGCTGCACCTTGAATCCTGTGTTCAGCTCTGGGGACCTCACTGCAAGAGAGACATTGAGGTGTTGGAGTGGGGCCAGAGCAGGGCAATGGAGCTGGTGCAGGGCCTGGAGCCCAGGGGTGATGGGGAAGGGCTGAGGGACCTGGGGGGTTCAGTCTGGAGAAGAGAAGGCTCAGGGGGACCTGATGGCTCCCTACAAGTGCCTGACAGGAGGAGGGAGCCAGGAGGGGCTGGGCTCTGCTCCCAAGGAACAAGGGATGGGACAAGAGGAACCGGCCTCAAGCTGCCCCAGGGCAGGTTTAGATGGAGCTGAGGAACAATTCCTGCCCCAGAGGGTGCTCAGGCATTGGAACAGGCTGCCCAGGGCAGGGCTGCAGGCACCGTCCCTGCAAGTGCTCACACACCGTGGAGACGAGGCCTCAGTGCTGTGGGTCAGTGGTGGCCTTGGCAGTGCTGGGAACGGTTGGACTGGATGAGCATGAAGGGCTTTTCCAACCCAGTTGCTCCCATGATCCTGTGCTTCCCTCATTCCATGGCCCCACACTGCCTTCCCGCAGCTGCATTTCATCCGTCACTACCTCTCGGAGGCCCCAGGCCACCACCGGGATGCGGCACCTGAGGAGCAGGCGCGCATTGAGCAGGAGATGCTCACCGAGATCCACCGGTGCGTGAGGGCACAGGACCCCCCCTCAGCCCCAAACCCTGCCCCATGGGGTGTGTGGGGCAGGGCGGGGGTGATGGCTGCTCTCCCGCAGGTTCGTTTTGGCCTCTCACTTCTTCTGGGGGCTGTGGTCCATCCTGCAGGCCAAGATCTCCACCATTGAGTTCGGGTACCTGGTGAGCACTGCCTTGGGCTCTCCCCCTCAGCGTGGGGTGTCGGGGTGGGGGGCAGAGCCCTGACCCCCTCCTTTCCACCCAGGACTATGCTCAGAGCCGCTTCGAGGCCTATTTCCAGCACAAGGAGCAGTGCTGAGCGCCCACCACGTCCCCCCCAGAGGCCCCGACTTGCAGCCTGTTGTTTCCTCCCCAGCCATGTCCCTCCCCATACCTCTAGGGCTGGTGCAGGGGCTGCACTGGGACCAGGGGCTGCTGCTTCCCCCTCCCTCCGACAGCAGAATGTGACTTGGACCAATAAACACGGTGACGATGGTGGTGATAGTGGTGATGGATGTGATGGTGGTGGTGGTGATCAGTGCCTGCTCACCCCGCATGGCTGCGGCACTGACCCCCTTCTCCCCTGACCCCCATTGCTGGGGCTGGGGCTGGGGCCATGCAGTAGCGCCGGGCTGGAGGGAGCAGTAATGGGCACAGCACCAGGACCTGCCCATGGGCGTTCTGGGGGTGCGGACCTGGTGAGGGGGACCCTCAGGTACCTCTGCACCCCCCAGAAGGAGCAGGGACCACCCCAGCACCGCACCCCTGCAGGGCCCTGCCTGCTCCGTGCAGCAGGTCCATGCGGGTCCCAGAGCTTCAGCACCTCTTCACCTTCCCCACCAGCAGCAGTGCTTCACCCTCCCCATGGCCTCCGGGCCCTTGACACGTGTGGGGCAGCACTGGGGGTCAGAGCATGCTTGTGCGTGCAGCAGGGTGCTGGGGCACACGCGTGTGCGTATGCATGTACCCAGCATGGCTGAGGGGGCAGCAGGCGGGTCCCTGCTCGGGGATGCGGGTCCCTCTCGGGATGCTGCTCCTGCTCCGCTGTGTTGGTCCCTTTTCCAGGGTACGGGTCCCGCCGGGGGTTCTGCATCTTTGGGATGCCGGTTCCTCCCGGGATGCTGCTCCGCCGGGGGTTCTGCATCTTTGGGGTGCCGGTTCCTCCCGGGATGCTGCTCCTGCTCCGCTGTGTTGGTCCCTTTTCCAGGGTACGGGTCCCGCCGGGGGTTCTGCATCTTTGGGGTGCCGGTTCCTCCCGGGATGCTGCTCCTGCTCCGCTGTGTTGGTCCCTTTTCCAGGGTATGGGTTCCCCCGGGGGTTCTGCGTCTTTGGGGTGCCGGTTCCTCCCGGGATGCTGCTCCTGCTCCGCTGTGTTGGTCCCTTTTCCAGGGTATGGGTTCCCCCGGGACATGTGGGTTTCCCCCGGGGGTTCTGTGTCTTTGGGGTGCCGGTTCCTCCCGGGATGCTGCTCCTGCTCCGCTGTGTTGGTCCCTTTTCCAGGGTACGGGTTCCCCCGGGGGTTCTGCATCTTTGGGGTGCCGGTTCCTCCCGGGAAATGCGGTTCCCCGCTCCCCCCAGTGTACGTGGCTCCGTCCTGCGGCCTCGGTCTCCGCAGGGTGTGGGTCCGTCCCCCGTCGCCCCCGATGCGGGTCTCTTCCAAGGGGTATCCGGTGCCGCTGGTGCCCCTGTCCCGGCCCTCGGTTCCTGGCCGGTCGCTGCGGATCCCCCCCGGTCCGTGCGGGTCCCCCCGTGCCCGCTCCCCGGGGCGGTGCCGCCCGGTCCCGCCCCGCCGGTGTCCGGTTACCCGGGACCCGCCAGCCCGGGGGTGTCGCGCGCCCGCGCCCCGCAGCAGGTACCGGGCACGGGGGGGCTGCCCCGGGGGGGGGGGACACGGACCGGGGGGGGGGGGTGGGGGGGGGTCGAACCCGACGTGTGCGGGGGGAGCGCAGCGAGAACCCCCCGGGCCCGGCCCGGCCCGAGCTCCCCGGGGGCACCACGGAGCCCCCCCGAGCCCCCCACGGCGCCCCCCGAGCCCCCCGGTCCGTGCCGTGCCCGGGGCCGCCCCCATGGCCCCGGGGGGCCGCGGGGTCCAGCGGGGAGCGACCGGCGCCGGTGACCTTGGGGGCGCTGGGGGGGGCTCGGTAGCTCCGCGGTGCAGGGTCACCCTGTGCCGGGCCGTGCGGTGCCGTGCCCCGTGCCAGGCCCTGCAGTGCCCCCCTGTGCAGTGCAGGATGAGTGCGTGCAGCAGGTTGTGGTGCTGAGCTGTGCCAGGCCCTGCAGTGCCATCCTGTGCAGTGCAGGATGAGTGCGTGCAGCAGGTTGTGGTGCTGCCCCGTGCCAGGCCCTGCAGTGCCACCCTGTGCAGTGCAGGATGAGTGCATGCAGCAGGTTGTGGTGCTGAGCCGTGCCAGGCCCTGCAGTGCCACCCTGTGCAGTGCAGGATGAGTGCGTGCAGCAGGTTGTGGTGCTGAGCCGTGCCAGGCCCTGCAGTGCCACCCTGTGCAGTGCAGGATGAGTGCATGCAGCAGGTTGTGGTGCTGAGCTGTGCAGGCCCTGCAGTGTCACCCTGTGCAGTGCAGGATGCGTGCATGCAGCAGGTTGTGGTGCGAGCCATGCCAGGCCCGGTGCACCCTGTGCAGTGCAGGTGAGGCATGCAGCAGGTTGTGGTGCTGAGCCGTGCCAGGCCCTGCAGTGCCACCCTGTGCAGTGCAGGATGAGTGCGTGCAGCAGGTTGTGGTGCTGAGCCGTGCCAGGCACTGCAGTGCCACCCTGTGCAGTGCCGGGCAGTGCAGGATGAGTGCGTGCAGCAGGTTGTGGTGCCGTGCCCCATGCCAGGCCCTGCAGTGCCATCCTGTGCAGTGCCGGGCAGTGCAGGATGAGTGCATGCAGCAGGTTGTGGTGCTGAGCCATGCCAGGCCCTGCAGTGCCACCCTGTGCAGTGCAGGATGAGTGCGTGCAGCAGGTTGCGGTGCTGAGCCGTGCCAGGCACTGCAGTGCCACCCTGTGCAGTGCCGGGCAGTGCAGGATGAGTGCATGCAGCAGGTTGTGGTGCTGAGCCGTGCCAGGCCCTGCAGTGCCGTGCAGTGCGGGATGAGTGCATGCAGCAGGTTGCGGTGCTGAGCTGTGCCAGGCCCTGCAGTGCCATCCTGTGCTGAGCCGTGCAGTGTAGCCAGGGCAGTGTGGCGCAGTGCGCTGCACTTGAGGGCAGGGTGCAGTGTGCAGTGTGCCATGTGCGGTGCAGTGCAGTGTGTAACACTGTGTGAGTGTGCAGTGTGCCATGTCAATGGTGCAGGGCACAGTTTATGATTGTGTAGTGTGCAGTGTGCAGTGTAATGCAGCGTGTGCCATGCAGTGTGTGCAGTGTGCAGTGTGCTGTCTGCAGTGTGCAGTGTGCAGTGTGCCAGTGTGCTTCAGTGCAGTGTGCTGTGTAGTGTGCTGCTGCAGTGTGCCAGTCCCGTGCAGTGCACAGCGTGTGCATGTGTGCTGTGTGCAGTGTGCTGTATGCAGTGTGCAGTGTGCCATGTCCCAGTGCAGGGCACAGCGTGTGCCATGTGCCCCATGCTGTGTGCAGTGTGCAGTGTGCTGTATGCAGTGTGCAGTGTGCCATGTCCCGGTGCAGGGCGCAGTGTGTGCCATGTGCTGTGTGCGGTGTGCAGTGTGCCATGTCCCGGTGCAGGGCACAGCGTGTGCCATGTGCTGTGTGCAGTGTGCTGTATGCAGTGTGCAGTGTGCCATGTCCTGGTGCAGGGCACAGCGTGTGCCATGTGCCCCATGGTGTGTGCAGTGTGCAGTGTGCTGTATGCAGTGTGCAGTGTGCCATGTCCCGGTGCAGGGCGCAGCGTGTGCCATGTGCCCCATGGTGTGTGCAGTGTGCAGTGTGCTGTATGCAGTGTGCAGTGTGCAGTGTGTCATGTCCCGGTGCAGGGCACAGCGTGTGCCCCATGGTGTGTGCAGTGTGCTGTATGCAGTGTGCAGTGTGCCATGTCCTGGTGCAGGGCGCAGCGTGTGCCATGTGCCCCGTGCTGTGTGCAGTGTGCAGTGTGCCATGTCCCGGTGCAGGGCGCAGCATGTGCCCCGTGCTGTGTGCAGTGTGCTGTATGCAGTGTGCAGTGTGCAGTGTGCCATGTCCTGGTGCAGGGCGCAGCGTGTGCCATGTGCCCCATGCTGTGTGAGGCTGCTGGCACTGGGGCTGGTGCTGCCTTGTCCTTGGCTGTGGGGAGGGCCCCGGCAGCTCCCTGCGAGTGAAGAGGGTGTGGGGGTGTGGGGGTGTCTCTGTGTGTCTGTGCGTGTGCGTGCGTGTGTGTCTCTGTGTGTGTGTGTGTGTGTGTCCGTGTGTCCCTGTGCCAGTGAACCCGTGTGTGTCTGTGTGCCCCTGTGTGAGTTGCTGTGCGTGTCCCTGCGTGTGTCCCTATGTGTGCCCCTATGTCCCTGCGTGTGTCCCTGCGTGTGTCCCTATGTCCATCCCTATGTCCCTCTGTGTGTCCCCATGTCCGTCCCTATGTCCCTCTGTGTGTCCCCATGTCCGTCCCTATGTCCCTCTGTGTGTCCCTCTGTGTGTCCCCATGTCCATCTCTATGTCCCTGTGTGTGTCCCTATGTCCCCATGTCCGTCCCCATGTCCCCGTGTCCCCCCGTGTCCCTCTCTCCCATGTGCATGTACATGTGCCACTGCCGCAGCCGCAGCCGTCTCTGACCCTTCCCTCAGTGGGCGCTCAGCCAAGGGCGCGTGACCGCGGCACCGGAGCCAAGCGGGGCCTGTGCCGGGGGGACCTGGGGGTGTCCCCGTGTGGGGCCAGGCCTGTGCCTGGGCGTGTGTCCGTGTGGGGCCTGTGGGGGGGCAGCTGGGGGTGTCCCCGTGTGGGGCTGGGCTCATGGGGCTGGGCCTGTGCTGTGGGGTGGGGGAGAGTGGGGCTGTGCCCGTAGGGCTGCCGTGTGTTGGGTGGGGATGTCTGGGGCTGGCGTGTGTGGGGTGGGACCCCCCGGGATGTCCATAGGTGGGGCTGGGCCCATGGGGCTGTGCCTATGGGGTGGGATATCCAGGGTTGGGATGTGTGGGGTGGGAGCATCAGAGCTGTCCCCAAGTGAGGCTGTGCCCATGGGGCTGGGATGTGTGGGGTGGGCGGTGTGCGGGTCCACATGTGTGGATCCACGTGTGCGGGTCCGTGTGTGCGGGTCCATGTGTGCGGGTCCGTGTATGCAGGTCCGTGTGTGCGGATCCACGTGTGCGGGTCCACGTGTGTGGGTCCATGTGTGCGGGTCCACGTGTGCGGGTCCATGTGTGTGGTCCCACGTGTGCAGGCCCATGTGCATGTCCATGTGCATGTCCCCATGTGTGTGTCCCCACGTGCGCGTCCCCACGTGTGTGTCCCCACGTGTGTGTCCCCACGTGCGTGTCCCCATGTGTGTGTCCGTCCCCACGTGTCCGTCCCCACGTGTGTGTCCCCACGTGTGCGTCCCCACGTGCGTGTCCCCATGTGTGTGTCCCCATGTGTGTGTCCCCACGTGTGTGTCCCCACGTGTGTGTCCCCATGTGTGTGTCCCCACATGTGTGTCCCCATGTGTGTGTCCCCATGTGTGCAGGTCCATGTGCAGGTCCCCACGTGTGCATCCCCACGTGTGTGTCCCCACGTGTGTGTCCCCATGTGCGTGTCCCCACGTGTGTGTCCCCACGTGTGCAGGTCCATGTGCGTGTCCCCACGTGTCCGTCCCCACGTGTCCGTCCCCACGTGTGTGTCCCCATGTGCGTGTCCCCATGTGTGTCCCCCCACGTGTGTGTCCCCATGTGCGTGTCCCCACGTGTCCGTCCCCACGTGCGTGTCCCCACGTGCGTGTCCCCACGCATGTGTCCCCATGACGCGCTCCTGCCGCAGGCGCCATGGCGGAGGCCCACCAGGCCGTCGCGTTCCAGTTCACGGTCACACCCGAGGGCCTTGACCTGCGGCTGAGCCGCGAGGCCGTGCGGCAGCTCTGCCTCGCCGCCGCGCACGCGTGGAAGAAGCGCCTCGTGCAGGCCAAGGTGCGCTCCCTGACACCGCCGTCACCCTCATTGTCACCCTCATTGTCACCCTCATTGTCACTCTGTCACCCTGACACCCCGATACCCTGTCATCATGTCACCCTATCATTGTCACCCATCAGCATCATCACCCCGCCCCATCACTCCATCCCCATCACCATCACCCCATCCCCATCATCCCTACCATCATCACCCATCATCCCCATCATCCCCATCATCCCTATCATCACCCCATCCCCATCATCCCTACCATCACCCCATCCCCATCATCCCTATCATCACCCCATCCCCATCATCCCTATCATCACCCCATCCCCATCATCCCTACCATCACCCCATCCCCATCATCCCTATCTTCATTGCATCCCCATCATCCCTATCATCACCCCATCCCCATCATCCCTACCATCACCCCATCCCCATCATCCCTATCTTCATTGCATCCCCATCATCCCCATCATCCCATCATCCCTATCATCACCCCATCCCCATCATCCCTATCATCACCCCATCCCCATCATCCCTGTCATCACCCCATCCCTATCATCACCCCATCCCCATCATCCCTATCATCACCCCGTCCCCCCCCATTGTCACCCCCACTGTCACCCCGGTCACTGCTGCCCTGTGCCCACAGAACACGTTCCTGAGTGGGGTGTACCCGGCCTCCCCGTCCAGCTGGGTGCTTGTGGTCATGGCCACTGCTGGCTCCGTCTACTGCCAGGTGGACCCTTCCCGGGGACTCATCACCCGCATCCAGCACTACCTGCCCCAGAGGTGACACTGGGGCACGGGGGGACATGGGGAGATATGGAGACACGAGGACATGGGGTGACAGAGGGGAACAGGGGGGGACATGAGGACATGGGGGGATAGCAGGGGACAAGGGGGGATATGGGCACACAAGGACACGGGGGGACACGGGGAGATATGGAGACACGAGGACATGGGGTGACAGAGGGGGAACAGGGGGGGACATGAGGACATGGGGGGATAGCAGGGGACAAGGGGGGATATGGGCACACAAGGACATAGGGGGACAGGGGACAAGGGGGGTGACAGAGGGGGCACACATGGGGGGAGGACATATGGGCACACAAGGACATAGGGGGACATGGGGGACGTAGAGACGTGGGAGGAGCCCTCCGCCCCCATGTCACAGTGCTGCAGGCCATGGTGGGGCCCATCCCCATGTCCCAGCCCACGGGCACGATGGACCCACCTGCACGTCCCCAGCGCCCCGGGACCAGCCCCACACGTCCCACCTCCCGTATCCCCCCGCAGCTCCACCCCACATGGGTGCTCCCAGGGTCCCCCTTCCCGGCTCAGCCCCATGGAGGGGTCCCCCATGTGCCGTGTCCCTGCAGCCGGTTCCTGAGCCCCAGCGGGCAGGAGGCGCTGAGCGCGGCGCTGTTCGGCACCGGCGTGTGGCTGGGCACGGTGCTGCTGTTCCGCCGCGCCCTGCGCCTGCTCCTGACCTACCATGGGTGGATGTTCGAGCCCCACGGCCGCCTCAGCCGCCGCACCCGCGTCTGGATGGTCAGTGCCTGGGGACGGGGTGGGACATGGATGGGGTGGGACATGGATGGAGAGGTAACGGGATGGGATGGGGAGGGATGGAGAGGTAACGGGATGGGATGGATGGGGAGGGAGTCAGAGGTAACGGGATGGGATGGGGAGGGGTGGAGAGCTAACGGGATGGGATGGGGAGGGATGGAGAGGTAACGGGATGGGGGATGGGGAGGGATGGAGAGGTAACGGGATGGGATGGATGGGGAGGGATGGAGAGGTAACGGGATGGGATGGGGAGGGATGGAGAGGTAACGGGATGGGATGGGGAGGGATGGAGAGGTAACGGGATGGGATGGGGAGGGATGGAGAGGTAACGGGATGGGATGGGGAGGGATGGAGAGGTAACGGGATGGGATGGATGGGGAGGGATGGAGAGGTAACGGGATGGGATGGGGAGGGATGGAGAGGTAACGGGATGGGATGGATGGGGAGGGATGGGATGGATGGGGAGGGATGGAGAGGTAACGGGATGGGATGGGGAGGGATGGAGAGGTAACGGGATGGGATGGATGGGGAGGGATGGAGAGGTAACGGGATGGGATGGGGAGGGATGGAGAGGTAACGGGATGGGATGGGGAGGGATGGAGAGGTAACGGGATGGGATGGGGAGGGGTGGAGAGGTAACGGGATGGAGAGGTAACGGGATGGGATAACGGGGGGACGGGATGGGAGGTAACGGGAGGGATGGAGAGGGGTGGAGACGGGTAACGGGATGGGGAGGGATGGAGAGGTAACGGGATGGGATGGGGAGGGATGGAGAGGTAACGGGATGGGATGAATGGGGAGGGATGGAGAGGTAACGGGATGGGATGGGGAGGGATGGAGAGGTAACGGGATGGGATGGGGAGGGGTGGAGAGGTAACGGGATGGGATGGGGAGGGATGGAGAGGTAACGGGATGGGATGGGGAGGGATGGAGAGGTAACGGGATGGGATGGGGAGCGATGGAGAGGTAACGGGATGGGATGGGGAGGGATGGAGAGGTAACGGGATGGGATGAATGGGGAGGGATGGAGAGGTAACGGGATGGGATGGGGAGGGATGGAGAGGTAACGGGATGGGATGGGGAGGGGTGGGAGAGGGATGGGCTTGGATGGTAACTGGATGGGAGGGTGTTCCTTCCCTGGAGGGTAACGGGATGGGGTGGGGAGGGATCCCCACAGGTGATGATGAAGGAGTTGTCCTTGGCAAGGGCTGTGGGATGGGATGGGATGGGGTGGGATGGGATGGGGTGGATGGGATTGGATGGGATTGGGGTTGATGGTGGGATAGGATGGGATGGGGGAGTCTATGATGGGATGGGGATGGAGGGTCTATGATGGGATGTGGGATCTATGATGGGTTGGGGGGTCTGTGGTGGGATGGTGGGTCTATGATGGCATGGGATAGAATGAGATGGGATGGAATAAGTTGGGGATAGGATGGAATGGATGGAGATGGGGTGGATGGCATGGGATGGGGATGGGATGGGTTTGGGGTCACCCGAGCCCAATTCTGCAGTACCTGGAGTCGGTGCGGCCCCTGATGGACAATGAGAAGTACAACAAGATGGAGACGCTGGCCAAGGAGTTCAAGGAGACGATCGCACCGCGGCTGCAGAAGTACCTGATCCTCAAGTCCTGGTGGACAACCAACTACGTGAGTCATCAGCAGCCCCAGGTGACAGATGTGGGGGGGACCCTCGCCACGTGTCCCCCCAGATGGCCCCATGGACACGTGGTGATGGTTCCCCCATCCAGCACCATGGATGATGTCCCCAAAGTCCTGCTGCTCATCCCTCATCATGGGAAGGGGGATTTGGGGCCTCCCGAGGGGTCCTGTCCCCCATCTCCGACTTCATCCCAATCCCATCTCCATCCCCATCCCATTTGCGTCTCTATCCCATGTTATCTCTATCCCATCTCCCTCCCCATCCCCTCCCACCTCATCCCCGTGCCCGCAGGTCAGTGACTGGTGGGAGGAATACATCTACCTGCGCGGCCGCAGCCCCATCATGGTCAACAGCAACTACTACGCCATGGTAGGGGTCTGGGGGTTCCAGTGCCGCGTGCCCCCCCGGGCTCCCCCCATCCTCATGGAGTGTCTTTCGGCAGGATTTCCTGTACGTGACCCCCAGCCACATCCAGGCTGCGCGCGCCGGGAACGCGGTTCACGCCATGATCCTGTACCGCCGCAAGCTGGACCGCGGCGAGCTGCCCCCCGTGAGCAGCGGGGCTCTGTGGGGCTCACAGGGGTCCTGGGGGTGTTTCAGGGGCTGGATGAGGGGGTGCAGGGGGATCTGTGGGTCTGGGTTGTTGGGGTGCAGGGGGATCTGTGGGTCTGGGTTGGGGGATGCAGGTGGGAGTGCAGGGGGATCTGTGGGTCTGGGTTGGGGGATGCAGGTTGGAGTGCAGGGGGATCTGTGGGTCTGGGTTGTTGGGGTGCAGGTGGGAGTGCAGGGGGATCTGTGGGTCTGGGTTGTTGGGGTGCAGGTTGGAGTGCAGGGGGATCTGTGGGTCTGGGTTGGGGGATGCAGGTGGGAGTGCAGGGGGATCTGTGGGTCTGGGTTGGGGGATGCAGGTGGGAGTGCAGGGGGATCTGTGGGTCTGGGTTGGGGGATGCAGGTTGGAGTGCAGGGGGATCTGTGGGTCTGGGTTGGGGATGCAGGCGGGAGTGCAGGGGGATCTGTGGGTCTGGGTCGGGGGATGCAGGTGGGAGTGCAGGGGGATCTGTGGGTCTGGGTTGGGGGATGCAGGTTGGAGTGCAGGGGGATCTGTGGGTCTGGGTTGGGGGATGCAGGTTGGAGTGCAGGGGGATCTGTGGGTCTGGGTTGGGGGATGCAGGTGGGAGTGCAGGGCGATCTGAGGGTCTGGGGTGGGGGATGCAGGTGGGAGTGCAGGGGGATCTGTGGGTCTGGGTTGGGGGATGCAGGTGGGAGTGCAGGGGTGTCTGCGGGTCTGGGTTGGGGGATGCAGGTGGGAGTGCAGGGGGATCTGTGGGTCTGGGTTGGGGGATGCAGGTGGGAGTGCAGGGGGATCTGTGGGTCTGGGTTGTTGGGGTGCAGGTTGGAGTGCAGGGGGATCTGTGGGTCTGGGTTGTTGGGGTGCAGGTGGGAGTGCAGGGGGATCTGTGGGTCTGGGTTGGGGGATGCAGGTTGGAGTGCAGGGGGATCTGTGGGTCTGGGTTGGGGGATGCAGGGGGGAGTGCAGGGGGATCTGTGGGTCTGGGTTGTGGGGGGGCCGGTGGGCGGGCAGGGGGATCTGTGGGTCTGGGTTGGGGGATGCAGGTGGGAGTGCAGGGGGATCTGCGGGTCTGGGTTGGGGGATGCAGGCGGGAGTGCAGGGGGATCTGTGGGTCTGGGTTGGGGGATGCAGGTTGGAGTGCAGGGGGATCTGTGGGTCTGGGTTGGGGGATGCAGGTGGGAGTGCAGGGGGATCTGTGGGTCTGGGTTGGGGGATGCAGGTGGGAGTGCAGGGGGATCTGTGGGTCTGGGTTGGGGGATGGAGGTGGGGGTGCAGGGGGATCTGTGGGTCTGGGTTGGGGGATGCAGGTGGGAGTGCAGGGGGATCTGTGGGTCTGGGTTGGGGGATGCAGGTGGGAGTGCAGGGGGATCTGTGGGTCTGGGTTGGGGGATGCAGGTGGGAGTGCAGGGGGATCTGTGGGTCTGGGTTGTTGGGGTGCAGGGGGATCTGTGGGTCTGGGTTGTTGGGGTGCAGGTGGGAGTGCAGGGGGATCTGTGGGTCTGGGTTGTTGGGGTGCAGGGGGATCTGTGGGTCTGGGTTGTTGGGGTGCAGGTGGGATCTGTGGGTCTGGGTTGTTGGGGTGCAGGGGGATCTGTGGGTCTGGGTTGTTGGGGTGCAGTTCACAGCCCCCCTCGCCCCTGCCCCACAGCTGATGGCGCTGGGCATCGTCCCCATGTGCTCCTCCCAGTCGGAGCGGATGTTCAACACCACCCGCGTCCCGGGCAAGGAGGCCGGTACGGGGGACGTGGGGACCGGGGGGCACAGGACGTGTCAGCGCGCTCCTGCCGGTGGGGTGCCTGTGGCTCCCGTGTCCCCATGTCCCGTGTCCCTGCCGCAGACCAGCTCGTGCACCTCGGGGACAGCCGGCACGTGGCCGTGTTCCACCGCGGGCGGTTTTACCGGCTCTGGCTCTACAAGGGGGCCCAGCTCCTGCCGCCCTGTGACCTCCAGCTCCAGTTCCAGCGCATCCTGGATGATCCCTCGGGACCGCAGCCGGGCGAGGAGCGGCTGGCGGCGCTCACCGCGGGGCAGAGGTGTGGGGCTGGGATGTGGGGCTATGGGGCTGGTGGCACGGCAGGGGAGAGGTGTGGGGCTGGCATGTGGGGCTATGGGGCTGGTGGCACTCACCGCGGGGGAGAGGTGTGGGGCTGGCATGTGGGGCTATGGGGCTGGTGGCACTCACCGCGGGGGAGAGGTGTGGGGCTGGCATGTGGGGCTATGGGGCTGGTGGCACTCACCGCGGGGGAGAGGTGTGGGGCTGGCATGTGGGGCTATGGGGCTGGTGGCACTCACCGCGGGGGAGAGGTGTGGGGCTGGCATGTGGGGCCATGGGGCTGGTGGCACTCACCGCGGGGGAGAGGTGTGGGGCTGGCATGTGGGGCTATGGGGCTGGTGGCACGACAGGGGAGAGGTGTGGGGCTGGCATGTGGGGCTATGGGGCTGGCGGCGCTCACCGCGGGGGAGAGGTGTGGGGCTGGCATGTGGGGCTATGGGGCTGGCGGCACTCACCGCGGGGGAGAGGTGTGGGGCTGGCATGTGGGGCTATGGGGCTGGTGGCACTCACCGCGGGGGAGAGGTGTGGGGCTGGCATGTGGGGCTATGGGGCTGGTGGCACTCACCGCGGGGGAGAGGTGTGGGGCTGGCATGTGGGGCTATGGGGCTGGTGGCACTCACCGCGGGGGAGAGGTGTGGGGCTGGCATGTGGGGCTATGGGGCTGGTGGCACTCACCGCGGGGGAGAGGTGTGGGGCTGGCATGTGGGGCCATGGGGCTGGTGGCACTCACCGCGGGGGAGAGGTGTGGGGCTGGCATGTGGGGCTATGGGGCTGGTGGCACGACAGGGGAGAGGTGTGGGGCTGGCATGTGGGGCTATGGGGCTGGCGGCGCTAACCGCGGGGGAGAGGTGTGGGGCTGGCAGGTGGGGCTATGGGGCTGGCGGCGCTCACCGCGGGGGAGAGGTGTGGGGCTGGCATGTGGGGCTATGGGGCTGGTGGCACGGCAGGGGAGAGGTGTGGGGCTGGCATGTGGGGCTATGGGGCTGGCGGCGCTCACCGCGGGGGAGAGGTGTGGGGCTGGCATGTGGGGCTATGGGGCTGGCGGCGCTCACCGCGGGGGAGAGGTGTGGGGCTGGCATGTGGGGCTATGGGGCTGGCGGCACGACAGGGGAGAGGTGTGGGGCTGGCATGTGGGGCTATGGGGCTGGTGGCACTCACCGCGGGGGAGAGGTGTGGGGCTGGCATGTGGGGCCATGGGGCTGGTGGCGCTCACCGCGGGGGAGAGGTGTGGGGCTGGCATGTGGGGCTATGGGGCTGGCGGCGCTCACCGCGGGGGAGAGGTGTGGGGCTGGCATGTGGGGCTATGGGGCTGGTGGCACGGCAGGGGAGAGGTGTGGGGCTGGCATGTGGGGCTATGGGGCTGGCGGCGCTCACCGCGGGGGAGAGGTGTGGGGCTGGCATGTGGGGCTATGGGGCTGGCGGCGCTCACCGCGGGGGAGAGGTGTGGGGCTGGCATGTGGGGCTATGGGGCTGGTGGCGCTCACCGCGGGGGAGAGGTGTGGGGCTGGCATGTGGGGCTATGGGGCTGGTGGCACGGCAGGGGAGAGGTGTGGGGCTGGCATGTGGGGCTATGGGGCTGGCGGCGCTCACCGCGGGGGAGAGGTGTGGGGCTGGCATGTGGGGCTATGGGGCTGGCGGCGCTCACCGCGGGGGAGAGGTGTGGGGCTGGCATGTGGGGCTATGGGGCTGGCGGCGCTCACCGCGGGGGAGAGGGGTGGGGCTGGCATGTGGGGCTATGGGGCTGGCGGCGCTCACCGCGGGGAGAGGTGTGGGGCTGGCATGTGGGGCTATGGGGCTGGCGGCGCTCACCGCGGGGGAGAGGTGTGGGGCTGGCATGTGGGGCTATGGGGCTGGCGGCGCTCACCGCGGGGGAGAGGTGTGGGGCTGGCATGTGGGGCTATGGGGCTGGCGGCGCTCACCGCGGGGGAGAGGTGTGGGGCTGGCATGTGGGGCTATGGGGCTGGCGGCGCTCACCGCGGGGGAGATGTGTAGGGCTGGGATGTGGGGCCATGGGGCTGGTGGCTGCATTGCTGTAAGTGCTGTGGGTGCTGCTGTGGGTGCTGTGCACATGGCTCACACCATGCATGCATGCACACTGTGCTGCGTTGCTGTAAGTGCTGTGGGTGCTGCTGTGGGTGCTGTGCACATGGCGCACACCATGCATGCATGCACACTGTGCTGCGTTGCTGTGGGTGCTGCAGGAGCTTTACGTGCAGTGGGTGCTGTGCTTTGCTGTGCATGCTGTGGGTGCTGTGCATGCAGCGCTTGTGGGGCCTACAGGGCAGTGGGGTGTGCTGTGGGTGCTGTGCGCGTGCTGCCAAGCAGCAGGCACAGGGGATGGAGCAGGTTCTGTGGGATGGGGCCCCGGGGACTCCCATGGGTGGGGACTCGCTGTGGGTCAGTAGGGGACCTCGGGGACTCGCTGTGGGTCAGTAGGGGACCTCGGGGACTCGCTGTGGGTCAGTAGGGGATCTCGGGACTCGCTGTGGGTCAGGAGGGGATCTCGGGGACTCGCTGTGGGTCAGTAGGGGACCTCGGGGACTCGCTGTGGGTCAGTAGGGGATCTCGGGGACTCGCTGTGGGTCAGGAGGGGATCTCGGGGACTCGCTGTGGGTCAGTAGGGGACCTCGGGGACTCGCTGTGGGTCAGTAGGGGATCTCGGGGACTCGCTGTGGGTCAGTAGGGGATCTCGGGACTCGCTGTGGGTCAGTAGGGGATCTCGGGGACTCGCTGTGGGTCAGTAGGGGACCTCGGGGACTCGCTGTGGGTCAGTAGGGGATCTCGGGGACTCGCTGTGGGTCAGTAGGGGATCTCGGGGACTCGCTGTGGGTCAGTAGGGGACCTCGGGGACTCGCTGTGGGTCAGTAGGGGATCTCGGGGACTCGCTGTGGGTCAGTAGGGGATCTCGGGGACTCGCTGTGGGTCAGTAGGGGACCTCAGGCACTCGCTGTGGGTCAGTAGGGGACCTCGGGGTCTCGCTGTGGGTCAGTAGGGGACCTCAGGGACTCGCTGTGGGTCAGTAGGGGATCTCGGGGACTCGCTGTGGGTCAGTAGGGGACCTCGGGGTCTCGCTGTGGGTCAGTAGGGGACCTCGGGGACTCGCTGTGGGTCAGTAGGGGACCTCGGGCACTCGCTGTGGGTCAGGAGGGGATCTCGGGGTCTCGCTGTGGGTCACTCGCTGTGGGTCAGGAGGGGACCTCGGGGACTCGCTGTGGGTCAGTAGGGGATCTCGGGGACTCGCTGTGGGTCAGTAGGGGATCTCAGGGACTCGCTGTGGGTCAGGAGGGGACCTCGGGGACTCGCTGTGGGTCAGGAGGGGACCTCGGGGTCTCGCTGTGGGTCAGTAGGGGATCTCGGGGACTCGCTGTGGGTCAGTAGGGGATCTCAGGGACTCGCTGTGGGTCAGGAGGGGACCTCATGGACTCGCTGTGGGTCAGGAGGGGATCTCGGGCACTCGCTGTGGGTCAGTAGGGGATCTCGGGGACTCGCTGTGGGTCAGTAGGGGATCTCGGGGACCTGCTGTGGGTCAGGAGGGGACCTCGGGGACTCGCTGTGGGTCAGGAGGGGATCTCGGGGACTCGCTGTGGGTCGAGGCGTGGGACAGGGGTCTCTCTGGGTCCCAGCGTGGCGGCTGTGCCGCAGGGTGCCGTGGGCCGAGGCGCGCGCGCGGTTCTTCAGCCGCGGCCCCAACAAGGCATCGCTGGACGCCATCGAGCGCGCCGCGTTCTTCGTGGCGCTGGACGAGGAGGCGCATGGCGCGGCGCCGCGGCGCGAGGGCTGCATGGACGCCTACGCCAAGTCCCTGCTGCACGGGCGCTGCTGCGACCGCTGGTTCGACAAGTCCTTCACCCTCGTGGTCTACAGCAACGGGAAGCTGGGCGCCAACGCCGAGCACTCCTGGGCCGACGCGCCCGTCATCGGCCACCTCTGGGAGGTACCGGGAGCACCCTGGGGGCGGGCAGCCCGTGGGCACCCCTTTGGGAGCCCCGGGGATGGGCGGGGTGGCTCATGGGCACCCCCTCGGGAATCCCATTGGACACCTTCCTTGGGGATCCCGGAGCTTGGGACCCCCATTGGGCACCCCCAGTTGAGCACATCCAGTTGGGGACCCCCATTGGGCACCCCCAGTTGAGCACATCCAGTTGGGGACCCCCATTGGGCACCCCCAGTTGAGCACATCCAGTTGGGGACCCCCATTGGGCACCCCCAGTTGAGCACATCCAGTTGGGGACCCCCATTGGGCACCCCCAGTTGAGCACATCCAGTTGGGGACCCCCATTGGGCACCCCCAGTTGAGCACATCCAGTTGGGGAGCCCTTGGTGCACCCCCAGTTGAGCACATCCAGTTGGGGACCCCCATTGGGCACCCCCAGTTGAGCACATCCAGTTGGGGACCCCCATTGGGCACCCCCAATTGAGCACATCCAGTTGGGGAGCCCTTGGTGCACCCCCAGTTGAGCACATCCAGTTGGGGACCCCCATTGGGCACCCCCAATTGAGCACATCCAGTTGGGGACCCCCATTGGGCACCCCCAATTGAGCACATCCAGTTGGGGAGCCCTTGGTGCACCCCCAATTGAGCACATCCAGTTGGGGACCCCCATTGGACACCCCCAATTGAGCACATCCAGTTGGGGACCCCCATTGGGCACCCCCAATTGAGCACATCCAGTTGGGGAGCCCTTGGTGCACCCCCAGTTGAGCACATCCAGTTGAGCACCCCCAATCACATCCAGTTGGGGACCCCCATTGGGCACCCCCAGTTGAGCACATCCAGTTGGGGAGCCCTTGGTGCACCCCCAATTGAGCACATCCAGTTGGGGAGCCCTTGGTGCACCCCCAGTTGAGCACATCCAGTTGGGGACCCCCATTGGGCACCCCCAGTTGAGCACATCCAGTTGGGGACCCCCATTGGGCACCCCCAGTTGAGCACATCCAGTTGGGGACCCCCATTGGGCACCCCCAGTTGAGCACATCCAGTTGGGGAGCCCTTGGTGCACCCCCAATTGAGCACATCCAGTTGGGGAGCCCTTGGTGCACCCCCAATTGAGCACATCCAGTTGGGGACCCCCATTGGGCACCCCCAGTTGAGCACATCCAGTTGGGGACCCCCATTGGACACCCCCAATTGAGCACATCCAGCTGGGGACCCCCATTGGGCACCCCCAGTTGAGCACATCCAGTTGGGGAGCCCTTGGTGCACCCCCAATTGAGCACATCCAGTTGGGGACCCCCATTGGGCACCCCCATTGACCCCCATTGGACACCCCCAATTGAGCACATCCAGTTGGGGACCCCCATTGGGCACCCCCAGTTGAGCACATCCAGTTGGGGACCCCCATTGGGCACCCCCAATTGAGCACATCCAGTTGGGGACCCCCATTGGGCACCCCCAGTTGAGCACATCCAGTTGGGGACCCCCATTGGGCACCCCCAATTGAGCACATCCAGTTGGGGAGCCCTTGGTGCACCCCCAGTTGAGCACATCCAGTTGGGGACCCCATTGGGCACCCCCAGTTGAGCACATCCAGTTGGGGACCCCCATTGGGCACCCCCAATTGAGCACACCCAGTTGGGGAGCCCTTGGTGCACCCCCAGTTGAGCACATCCAGTTGGGGAGCCCTTGGTGCACCCCCAATTGAGCACATCCAGTTGGGGACCCCATTGGGCACCCCCTGAGCACATCCAGGGGGGATGTGTGGACACCCCCAGTTGAGCACATCCAGTGGGGCACCCCCATGGGGCACCCCCAATTGAGCACATCCAGTTGGGGATGGGGACACCCCCAATTGAGCACATCCAGTTGGGGAGGGTTTTGGGCACCCCCAATTGAGCACATCCAGTTGGGGACCCCCATTGGACACCCCCAGTTGAGCACATCCAGTTGGGGACCCCCATTGGACACCCCCAGTTGAGCACATCCAGTTGGGGACCCCCATTGGACACCCCCAGTTGAGCACATCCAGTTGGGGACCCCCATTGGACACCCCCAGTTGAGCACATCCAGTTGGGGACCCCCATTGGGCACCCCCAGTTGAGCACATCCAGTTGGGGAGCCCTTGGTGCACCCCAGGGTTAGCGACCCGCACTGGGCACTCCCAGTTGGGAGCTTTTATAGTGCACCATAAATTGAGTCCCTCTGGGGGGAGCCTGCATTGGGCACCCCCAGCTGGGTGCCCCCAGCCAGGGACCCCTCTCCGGGGGGGATGTGTGGGGCTGGGAGGACGTGGGGGGCTCACACTGGGGCAGTGGGGGTTGCATTGGAGGGGATGGGGCAGGTGGGGAGGATCAGGGGTTGGGGGTCTGGAGGGTTTTGGGGCCGTTGCCCCACACCCACATCTCCCCCCCCCCCAGTTCATGCTGGGCACAGACCGGTTTGAGCTGGGCTACACCGAGGATGGGCACTGCAAGGGGGAGCCCAACACCGCGCTGCCCCCCCCGCAGCGCCTGCAGTGGGACATCCCAGAGGAGGTGGGTCTGAACCCCAGCCCTTGCCCCACATCGCGGGCTGCTCTCTGCCCCTTGGCACCAGCGCAGGAGATGCCATTGTCACCCGGTGTCCCAGCGCAGGGCGATGTGGGGCAAGTTCCGTGGCCCCCACGTGGCCTGTGTCCCTATGGATGCTGTGTCCCTATGGATGCTGTGTCCCTATGGATGCTGTGTCCTGTGTCCCTATGGATGCTGTGTCCCTATGGATGCTGTGTCCCTATGGATGCTGTGTCCTGTGTCCCTATGGATGCTGTGTCCTGTGTCCCTATGGATGCTGTGTCCCTATGGATGCTGTGTCCTGTGTCCCTATGGATGCTGTGTCCTGTGTCCCTATGGATGCTGTGTCCTGTGTCCCTATGGATGCTATGTCCTGTGTCCCTATGGATGCTATGTCCTGTGTCCCTATGGATGCTGTGTCCTGTGTCCCTATGGATGCTGTGTCCTGTGTCCCTATGGATGCTGTGTCCTGTGTCCCCCACGTGTCCTGTGTCCCTATGGATGCTGTGTCCCTATGGATGCTGTGTCCTGTGTCCCCGCAGTGCTGTGCAGCCATTGAGCGCTCGTACCTGCTGGCCCGGACGCTGGCTGAGGACGTGGACTTCCACGTGTTCCATTTCTCGGACTTTGGGAAGGGGCTCATCAAGCGGTGCCGGACCAGCCCCGACGCCTTCATCCAGATCAGCCTCCAGCTCGCCCACTTCCGCGTGAGGAGCAGGGGAAGGCGGCAGGAACGGGGGTGTGGTGGGAATGGGAAGGGCATTGGGATGGGATGGGATGGGGCTGGGATGTGGTGGGATGGAGATGGATGGGATGAGGTGTGATGGGATGTGATGTGATGGGATGGGGAGGGATGGAGATGTGATGGGATGGGGTGGGATGGAGATGGGATGGGATGTGATGGGATGTGATGTGATGGGATGGGATGGGATGAGATGAGATGGGATGGGGTGGGATGGGTTGTGTTGGAAGGAGGTGGGATGCAATGGGATGAGGTGGGATATGTTGGGATGTGATAGGATGGGGGTGGATGTGATGGGATATGGTGTGGTGGGACGGGATGAGGTGGGATATGATGTGTTGAGTTGAGGTGTGATGGGATGGAATGAGGTGGGATGGGTGGGATGTGATGGGATAGGATGTGTTGGGATGAGGTGTGATGGGATGGGATAAGGTGGGATGGGTGGGGTGTGTTGGGATGTGATGGGATGGGATGAGGTGTGATGGGATGGGATGTGTTGGGATGAGGTGCGATGGGATGGGATGTGTTGGGATGAGGTGCGATGGGATGGGATGTGTTGGGATGAGGTGTGATGGGATGGGATGTGTTGGGATGAGGTGCGATGGGATGGGATGTGTTGGGATGAGGTGTGATAGGATGGGATGTGTTGGGATGAGGTGATGTGGGTTGGGATGTGTTGGGATGGGATGTGTTGGGATGAGGTGTGTTGGGATGGGATGTGTTGGGATGAGGTGCGATGGGATGGGATGTGTTGGGATGAGGTGCGATGGGATGATGTGTGTTGGGATGGGATGTGTTGGGATGAGGTGTGTTGGGATGAGGTGTGTTGGGATGGGATGTGTTGGGATGAGGTGTGTTGGGATGGGATGTGTTGGGATGAGGTGCGATGGGATGGGATGTGTTGGGATGAGGTGTGTTGGGATGGGATGTGTTGGGATGAGGTGTGTTGGGATGGGATGTGTTGGGATGAGGTGTGTTGGGATGGGATGTGTTGGGATGAGGTGCGATGGGATGGGATGTGTTGGGATGAGGTGCGATGGGATGGGATGTGTTGGGATGAGGTGTGTTGGGATGAGGTGCGATGGGATGGGATGTGTTGGGATGAGGTGTGTTGGGATGGGATGTGTTGGGATGAGGTGTGTTGGGATGGGATGTGTTGGGATGAGGTGTGATGGGATGGGATGTGTTGGGATGAGGTGTGATGGGATGGGATGTGTTGGGATGAGGTGTGTTGGGATGAGGTGTGATGGGATGGGATGTGTTGGGATGAGGTGTGTTGGGATGAGGTGTGATGGGATGGGATGTGTTGGGATGAGGTGTGTTGGGATGGGATGTGTTGGGATGAGGTGTGATGGGATGGGATGTGTTGGGATGAGGTGTGTTGGGATGAGGTGCGATGGGATGGGATGTGTTGGGATGATGTGTTGGGATGAGGTGTGATGGGATGGGGTGTGTTGGGATGGGATGTGTTGGGATGAGGTGCGATGGGATGGGATGTGTTGGGATGAGGTGCGTTGGGATGGGATGTGTTGGGATGAGGTGTGTTGGGATGGGATGTGTTGGGATGAGGTGTGTTGGGATGGGATGTGTTGGGATGAGGTGTGTTGGCATGGGATGTGTTGGGATGAGGTGTGAGGCGCTGTGCTGGTGGGGCAGGACAAGGGCCAGTTCTGCCTGACGTACGAGGCGTCCATGACGCGGCTGTTCCGTGATGGCCGCACCGAGACCGTGCGCTCCTGCACCGCCGAGTCCACGGCCTTCGTGCGCAGCATGGCCGACCCTGCGCAGAGCGTGAGCACCGCGGCCGCGCGCGTCGCATCCCCCGTGTGCCCTGCGGGTGCTCCTGCTCCTTGGGAATGACGGTCCCGGAAAGGGCCCCTCTCTGGAGGAGGAGGTCACATCCCCCACTCCGAATCCATCCCTCGCTGGCATCCAAATCCCTGGGCTTCACCCCCTCAGAGGTCCCCATCCCTCATGGAGGTCCCCATCTCCTACCCCTTGGAGCCGTCCCCATCCCTTAGGACGACCCGTGTCCCTCATGGTGGTCCCTGTCCTTTGGGACATCCCGGTCTCTCCTGAGGCACGCGGGGCCGGGTCTCCCTGTCCGGGGCAGTCCCTGGTGCCTGTGCCGTGTGTGACGCCGTGTCCCCGGTGTGTGTCGGTGCCCCGCAGCGCGCGGAGCGGCAGCGGCTCTTCCGGTTGGCGGCAGAGAAGCACCAGCTCATGTACCGCTTGGCCATGACCGGCGCCGGCATCGACCGACACCTCTTCTGCCTCTACCTGATGTCGCGGTACCTGGGGCTGCAGTCGCCCTTCCTTGCCCAGGTCAGCGCCACGCGGGGCAGGGGACATGGCATGGCACACATAGCACATGGGGCAGGCATGGCACATACAGCACCTGGGACAGGCATGGCACACGTAGCACATGGGACAGGCATGGGCACATACAGCACATGGGACAGGCATGGGCACACACAGCACATGGGACAGGCATGGCACACGTAGCACATGGGACAGGCATGGCACACACAGCACATGGGACAGGCATGGCACACACAGCACATGGGACAGGCATGGGCACACACAGCACATGGGACAGGCATGGCACACATAGCACATGGGACAGGCATGGGCACACATGGCACATGGGACAGGCATGGCACACACAGCACATGGGACAGGCATGGCACACATAGCACATGGGACAGGCATGGGCACACATAGCACATGGGACAGGCATGGGCACACACAGCACATGGGACAGGGATGGGCACACGTAGCACATGGGACAGGCATGGGCACACATAGCACATGGGACAGGCATGGCACACATAGCACATGGGACAGACATGGCACACACAGCACATGGGACAGGCATGGCACACACAGCACATGGGACAGGCATGGCACACATGGCACATGGGACAGGCATGGGCACACATAGCACATGGGACAGGCATGGGCACACACAGCACATGGGACAGGCATGGCACACACAGCACATGGGACAGGCATGGCACACACAGCACATGGGACAGGCATGGCACACACAGCACATGGGACAGGCATGGGCACACACAGCACATGGGACAGGCATGGCACACATAGCACATGGGACAGGCATGGGCACACACAGCACATGGGACAGACATGGGCACACGTAGCACATGGGACAGGCATGGGCACACATAGCACATGGGACAGGCATGGCACACGTAGCACATGGGACAGGCATGGGCACACATAGCACATGGGACAAGCATGGGCACACATAGCACATGGGACAGGCATGGCACACGTAACACATGGGACAGGCATGGCACACACAGCACATGGGACAGGCATGGGGACACACAGCACATGGGACATGGCATGGGCACACACAGCACATGTGACAGGCATGGGCACACACAGCACATGGGACACAGCAGCATGCAGGGCACATGGGACACCAGGAAGGCACACATGGCACACAGGACACTGCATGGGCACACATAGCACATGGGACACCAGGAAGGCACACATGGCACACAGGACACTGCATGGGCACACGGAGCACACGGGACACTGCATGGGTGTGCAGGAGAAAGCCACCACCCTGATGTGTCACAGCACATGCGTGTGCAAGGGCTGCACACACTCCATGGCACACGTGTGCCCAGCTGCCATTGTCGGGGTGTCAGTGGGGTGCAGTGGCTGCTCTGGGCTGCACTGGGGTGCACCCTGGGCTGCACTGGGGTGCACTGGGGTGCACACTGGGCTGTACTGGGGTGCACTGGGGTGCACACTGGGCTGTACTGGGGTGCACTGGGGTGCACACTGGGCTGCACTGGGTGCCCTGGCTGCGGTGCAGGTGCTGTCGGAGCCATGGCGTCTCTCCACCAGCCAGACCCCACAGCAGCAGCTCAACATGTTCGACCTCAACAAGTTCCCCGACCACGTCTCCACCGGCGGTGGCTTCGGGCCTGTGAGCACTGGGGAAGAGGGGGTATTGGGGGGGTCCTGGGGGTGCAGGTGGGTGCTTGGGGCCTGGGCTGGGGGACGAGGGAGGTCCTGGGGGATAATGGGGGGATCCTGGGGGTCATGGGGGCGTCCTGGGGTTCCAGCGGGGTGCTGGAGGGTCCCGGGGGAAGCTGATGCCCCATACCCGCCATGGCCCTGGGCAGGGACGTGCTGCAGGCAGGTGCCCCCAGCCCCATGGGGCAGTGGGTCCCACCTTCCCCTTCACCCGCAGGTGGCGGATGACGGTTATGGTGTCTCCTACATGATAGCTGGGGAAAACCTGATCAACTTCCACGTGTCCAGCAAGTTCTCGAGTCCTGAGACGGTGAGAGCGGGGCCGGGAATGACAGCAACGGGATGGGGATGGGATGGAGAGACTTGGGGTGTTGGTGAGGAGCAACTCAACTCCCTCTGCTCTGGAGCCAGGCTGAGAGAGCTGGGCTGGGGCAGCCGGGAGAAGAGAAAGCTCCTGAAGGGGAGACCTGAGAGCAGCTCCAGTGCCTGAAGGGGCTGCAGGAAACCTGGAGAGGGGCTTGGGACAAGGGATGTAGGGCCAGGCCAAGGGGAATGGCTTTAACCTGCCCGAGGGGAGACTGAGCTGAGCTCTTAGGCAGAAGCTCTTCCCTGTGAGGGTGCTGAGGCGCTGGCACAGGGTGCCCAGAGAAGCTGTGGCTGCCCCATCCCTGGCAGTGTTCAAGGCCAGGTTGGACACAGGGGCTTGGAGCAAGCTGCTCCAGTGGAAGGGGTCCCTGCCCGTGGCAGGGGTTGGAGCTGGAGGAGCTTTAGGATCCCTCCCAGCACACCCCAGTGCATGGCTCTGCGGTGCCGGGGGGCTGTGGGGGGCCGTGGGTCACGGTGTTGCCCCGCAGGACTCGAAGCGCTTCGGCAGGCACATCCGTCAGGCCATGCTGGACGTCGCGGAGCTCTTTGACAAACCCAAGTGATGCTGGAGCCAAGCCCCGGGCGAGGGGCGCGGAGCTGGGGGGGCTGCGGCAGCCCCTGTCCCAGGGGAGGCGCTGGGGGGGTCCCGGGGTCTCTGCTCTGATCGTACTTCCAATAAAGGTTGGTGTGATGTGGATGGATCCCGTGCACCCAGCGTGGCCCCGTGGGGGCCCCACAGTCCCACGGCACCATCCCATGGGCTGCACATGAAGGGTGCAGCCGGTGACTGGTGATGCATGTTGTGCTGGTGCCTGTGACGTGCTGTGTGCAGTGGGGCACAGTGCCCTGCTGGCACCGTCCTGCCGCGGCTGCTGCATCCCTTGGGGCTGGGCTGGAGCTGCGGTGTGGGGAGGGCTTCAGGACTCCCCAGTGCGGCACCGCCTGGTCCTGGGGGGCTCTGGGGGCAGTGTGAGAAACACAGGACCCGCAGCTCAGAGCCTGCACCCAGCACCCGCAGCTCAGAGCCTGCACCCAGCACCCGCAGCTCAGAGCCTGCACCCAGCACCCGCAGCTCAGAGCCTGCACCCAGCACCCGCAGCTCAGAGCCTGCACCCAGCACCCGCAGCTCAGAGCCTGCACCCAGCACCCGCAGCTCAGAGCCTGCACCCAGCACCCACAGCTCAGAGCCTGCACCCAGCACCCGCAGCTCAGAGCCTGCGCCCAGCACCCGCAGCTCAGAGCCTGCACCCAGCACCCGCAGCTCAGAGCCTGCGCCCAGCACCCGCAGCTCAGAGCCTGCGCCCAGCACCCGCAGCTCAGAGCCTGCGCCCAGCACCCGCAGCTCAGAGCCTGCGCCCAGCACCCTGCACTGGGTGACATCCTGCACCCAGCACCCTGCACCGGGTGACATCCTGCACCCCCACACCCTGCGCTGGCTGACATCCTGCCCCCTGATCTCACATCAGGGCCCCATCCTGCACCCACATCTGCACTGGGGACCCAGAAGCTGCGGATGGGTGGATGCAGGCTGGGTCCCGGTTAGGAGGGCGACCTGCTGGAGCGTGCCTGGAGCCATGGTGTCCATTGGGAACATGTCCGGAGCTGTGATGTGTGTCCCTGGGGAGCACATCCAGAACCATCACACGGGTCTGTCCGGAGCGCGTCCGGAGCCGTGGCGCGTGTCCATGGGGCTCACGTCCGGAGCCATCACGCGTGTCCATGGGGCTCACGTCCGGAGCCGTGGCGCGTGTCCATGGGGCTCACGTCCGGAGCCGTGGCGCGTGTCCATGGGGCTCACGTCCGGAGCCGTGGCCCGTGTCCATTGGGAGTGTGTCCGGAGCCATCACGCGTGTCCATGGGGCTCGCGTCCGGAGCCGTGGCCCGTGTCCATTGGGAGTGTGTCCGGAGCCATCACGCGTGTCTGGAGCCGCCGCAGTGCCGGGTCCTGCTCCTTATCTGATCCCGGCTGGGCAGCGCGCCCAGCGCCCGTGTGGGAGTGCCACTGGGTGCACTGGGTGTTCGCGCTGGTGCTGTGGGCGCTCCCACCAGTGCAGGGCACACACGGTGCGGTTCACCCCCATGTCCCGTGTCCCGTGTCCCGTGTCCTATCTCCTGTTCCCGCCCCCCCCCCCATCGTCTCTATAAAGACCTCGGCTCGCTCCAGCCTCCCTGTTCAGCGCAGGTCAGGATGGGACCCACGGCTCTCCTGGGGCTCTGCCTGATCGGCTGCCTGGTGCTGAGCCCCTGGCTGCAAGGTGAGACCCCACAGCACCCCAAAACCTGCACCCTGCAGCACCCCCTGCAGCACCCCCTGCACCCATCCAGCACCCTGCAGCACCCCCTGCCTGCACCCCCTGCACCCAGCACCCATCCAGCACCCCCTGCCTGCACCCCCTGCACCCAGCACCCATCCAGCACCCTGCAGCACCCCCTGCAGCACCCCCTGCACCCAGCACCCATCCAGCACCCTGCAGCACCCCCTGCACCCAGCACCCATCCAGCACCCTGCAGCACCCCCTGCAGCACCCCCTGCACCCAGCACCCATCCAGCACCCTGCAGCACCCGCTGCAGCACCCCCAGCACCCATCCAGCACCCTGCAGCACCCCCTGCAGCACCCCCTGCACCCATCCAGCACCCTGCAGCACCCCCTGCAGCACCCCCTGCACCCAGCACCCATCCAGCACCCTGCAGCACCCCCTGCCTGCACCCCCTGCACCCAGCACCCTGCAGCACCCCCTGCACCCAGCACCCATCCAGCACCCTGCAGCACCCCCTGCCTGCACCCCCTGCACCCAGCACCCATCCAGTACCCTGCAGCACCCCCTGCACCGAGCACCCATCCAGCACCCTGCAGCACCCCCTGCCTGCACCCTCTGCACCCAGCACCCATCCAGCACCCTGCAGCACCCCCTGCAGCACCCCCTGCACCGAGCACCCATCCAGCACCCTGCAGCACCCCCTGCCTGCACCCCCTGCCACCCCCAGCTCCTCAAAACGCGGTGATTCAGGGTCAGGCCCCTAAACGGGGTCCGGCAGCAGGCGGGGCTATGGGCAGGGCTATGGGGGTCCCGGTGCTGACCTCAGCCCCCGCTGCAGGGGTGCAGGCGGGCCCGTGCCCGCGGGAGTGGCTGTCGCTGGGGGGGCACTGCTATGGGTACTTCGGGCAGGAGCTGAGCTGGCGCCGGGCAGAGGTAGGTCCGGGGCTCTCTGGGCTCTGTGTGTGTGTGCGTGTCCCCATGGCTGCGGTGCCCCCCGACCTGCCTGTGCCCCCAGGCCTGGTGCAAGGCTGCCCGCGGCGGGGGGCACTTGGCCTCGCTGCACACCCCCGAGGAGCACCGGGCGCTGGCGGCCTTCATCAGCCAGAGTCAGCGCCAGCAGCGGCACCGGCACCCGCCGCGGGAGGAGGAGGACGATGATGACAACGTGTGGATTGGCCTCTACCGGCGGGTGGGTGCCCCTTGCAATGCCCCCGGCGCTGCCCGCAGCGCATCCATCCGTCCGTTCACCCGCACTATCCCTGCCCCTGCCCATCTCCCTCCTTGCCCATCCCTGTCTCTGCCTGTCCCTGTCCCCGTCCTTGTCCCTGTCACTGCCCATCCCTTTTGTCGGTTCCCATCCCTGTCCCTGTCCCCATCCCTTTCCCATCCCTGCTTGTCCCTGTCACTGCCCATCCCTTCCCGTCCCTGTTCCCATCCCCATCCTTGCGGCTCCCGTCCCTGTCCCTTCCTGTCCTTGTCCCCGTCCCTTTCCCCTCCCTGCTTGTCCCTGTCCCTGTCCCCATCCTTGTCCCTGTCCCCGTCCCTGTCCCTGCCCATCCTTGTCCCTGTCCCCGTCCTTGTCCCTGTCCCTGCCCATCCTTGTCCCTGTCCCCATCCTTGTCCCTGTCCCCATCCTTGTCCTTGCCCATCCTTGTCCCTGTCCCCGTCCTTGTCCCTGCCCATCCTTGTCCCTGTCCCCGTCCCTGTCCCTGCCCATCCTTGTCCCTGTCCCTGCCCATCCTTGTCCCTGTCCCCATCCTTGTCCCTGCCCATCCTTGTCCCTGTCCCCATCCTTGTCCTTGCCCATCCTTGTCCCTGTCCCCATCCTTGTCCCTGTCCCCATCCTTGTCCTTGCCCATCCTTGTCCCTGTCCCCATCCTTGTCCCTGTCCCCATCCTTGTCCTTGCCCATCCTTGTCCCTGTCCCCGTCCTTGTCCCTGTCCCTGCCCGTCCTTGTCCCTGTCCCCATCCTTGTCCCTGTCCCCATCCTTGTCCTTGCCCATCCTTGTCCCTGTCCCCATCCTTGTCCCTGTCCCCATCCTTGTCCTTGCCCATCCTTGTCCCTGTCCCCGTCCTTGTCCCTGTCCCTGCCCGTCCTTGTCCCTGTCCCCATCCTTGTCCCTGTCCCCATCCTTGTCCTTGCCCATCCTTGTCCCTGTCCCCATCCTTGTCCCTGTCCCTGCCCATCCTTGTCCCTGTCCCCGTCCCTGTCCTTGCCCATCCTTGTCCCTGTCCCCGTCCCCGCCTCTGTCGCTGACCCGTGGCGGTGCCCAGGGCCAGGCCTGGTCCTGGGTGGATGGGTCCCGGCGGCGCTACTCGGCCTGGGACGGGGACGACGGGGCCGCGGGGCCGCGCTGCGCCGCGCTGGAGGATGCGGCCGGTGAGCGCCTGACAGGGATGATGGGGGGGGGGGATGCGGGTGATGGAGGGGGATGTGGGGTGGTGGAGGGTGGTTGGGGGTGATGTGGGGCAGCTGGGGGTGGTTGGGGGGCAGTTACGGGGCCTGGCCTAAGTGCTGGTGCCTCTCCTGCAGGTTTCATGTCCTGGGACATCGAGTCCTGCAGCGAGAGGAAACCCTTCATCTGCAAATACGCGGCCTAAGGAGGGGCACCCAGAGACCTGTGTCCCCCCCCATCAGCCCCGTCACCTCCCATCACCCCCTGACCTCCACGTCCCTCCCCTACAATAAAGACCCCCGAGCACGCCTGGCCCCGCGTGTTCTCTGCTGTGTGCAGGAGGCGTCCCCGTGGCAGCAGGAGTCCCCCATGGCAGGGGTGCTCCCATAGCCCCCCTTTGTCCCCGCTGCCCCCATCCATGGGAAACCGGTGGTTCTGGCGGGTGCCCACCCGTGTGGTGGGAGAAGAACAGGTGGGCGCTGGGTGCTGGGGATGAACTTTATTGGTGCCCGGTGTGCTGGGGGGGTCATGGGGAGGTGCACGAGGGGGTGCAGGGCTGGGGACACTGCGGGGTGCAGGCAGGAGAGCTTCGCAGGGTCCCCCGTTCCGAGGGCGCAGCTCCTCAGAGCTGGTTCTGGCACAGGAAGGAGAACTTCCTGTCACAGGGGTAGTCGTGCCACAGCCTGAAACCTGGGCACGGGCAAGGGTTTTCAGAGGCACCGCCGGCACCAACCAGCACCCGCAGGCACCCACCAGAACTCCCCTCCCACCACCGGCACACCCCTTAGACCACCAGCACCCACTGGCACACCCGAGCACCCCTCTTCCACCAGCAGCACCCACCAGCAGCCCCCTTCCACTAGCAGCACCCCACATCACACTCTTTTACATCCATCGCCCCGTCTCTGTCACCCCTTTCTCCATCATTCCCATCTCCATTTTCCACCTACGTCATCTCATCTCCATCACCCCACCTCCATCACCTCTGTCACCCCTTTAGCACCAACACCCCGACTCCCCCACGGTTACCACACACCCTCATGTCCCATGCCCCCATGTCCCCTTGTCCTCGTGGCTCACCTGAGTGGTAGTACAGCACCACACAGTCCTCCTCGTCCCACATGTTGTTGGGTTGTCCCACGTCCCAGTTTTTGAAGTTGTAGGCTGAGTCATCCGACCACTTCCACTGCCGGGACTGGAGGCACATGGGGGGTCCGTGTGTCTTATGGGGGTCAGGGGGTGCCATGGTGTGTTCATGTCCCCATGCTGTGTCCGTGCGCCCATGCTGGGTCTGTGTGTCCCATGTTGGGTCCACGTGCCTGCACTGGGTCTGGGTGCCCATGCTGTGTCAATGTGTTTCATGGTGTGTCCGTGTCCCCACGTGTGTCTGGGTGCCCATGCTGTGTCAATGTGTTTCATGGTGTGTCCGTGTCCCTACATGTGTCTGGGTGCCCATGTTGTGTCAATGTGTTTCATGGTGTGTCCGTGTCCCCACATGTCTCTGTGCCCATGCTGTGTCAATGTGTTTCATGGTGTGTCCGTGTCCCCACGTGTGTCTGGGTGCCCATGCTGTGTCAATGTGTTTCATGGTGTGTCCGTGTCCCCACGTGTGTCTGGGTGCCCACGCTGGGTCTGTGTCCCAGGCTGTGCCCATGCTGGGTCCATGTGTCCCAGGCTGTGCCCATGCTGGGTCCGTGTGTCCCAGGCTGTGCCCATGCTGGGTCCGTGTGTCCCAGGCTGTGCCCACGCTGGGTCTGTGTCCCAGGCTGTGCCCATGCTGGGTCCATGTGTCCCAGGCTGTGCCCATGCTGGGTCCGTGTGTCCCAGGCTGTGCCCATGCTGGGTCCGTGTGTCCCAGGCTGTGCCCATGCTGGGTCCGTGTGTCCCAGGCTGTGCCCATGCTGGGTCCGTGTGTCCCAGGCTGTGCCCACGCTGGGTCTGTGTCCCCCATGTCCCCATGGTCTCCCCGTGTCCCGGGTCAGCCCCACATCACTCACGTGCTCCTCGTCATGGAGCCCGATCCAGACGTGGCCTGTGGCGTGGCTCTGGCTCCCCAGGTACGAGGCCAGGACACGGCTGGTGCCTTGGTTGTGGATGGAGGCCAAGTGCCCCTTGGGCCCGTAGCGCTCACACTCAGCCTGGGGGCACGGGAACGTCAGCATCCAGCACCAGCACCCCCGGACCCCCCCCTGCCCCCGGACCCCCGGGACCTACCTCAGCCTCATCCCACGTCAGCTTCTCCTGGAAGAACCCATAGCAATAGCCCCTGAAGAGGCGCCAGTTCTGGGGGCAGGAGGCTGCGACTCCCCCCTGCGCAGGGGCGGGGGCCGGCGGGGCACCCAGGCACCCTGCAATGCACCGGGCACACAGTGATGGGGGGGCACCCAGAGCACCCTCTGCTCCCTAAACCCAGGGACACCCCCCCCGGGGACACCCCTTCATGGGACCCCCCATCCAGGGACACCCCCATTTCCCTCAGGGGAGTCCCTGGGAGGGGTTCCATGGGCAGGGCTGGGACCTGGGCTCCTATGGGATGGAGATGAGGATGGGATCAGGGATTGGGGACCAGGGGTTGGGAATTGTGGAGCAGGGAGTAGGAACTGCGATCTGGGAACAGGGATTGGGGTTGGGAATTGGGGTTTAAGAAGCAGGGAGTGGAGATCAATGATCGGGGAGCAGGGATCAGGGAAGAGGTGTCAGAGATCTGGGATGAGTGATTTGGGATCAGGGATGGGGGTGTTGTGGTTTCAGGGTGCAGGGGTGCAAGGGATGGGGGTTTCGGGGGGTGTTGGATCGGGCGCTGCCCGGGGGGGTCACAAGGAATTCCAGCGGTGTCCCAGGGCTGGCTCAGGAATCACCTCCCAGGCAGGCAGCGAGGAGCAGGCAGCCGAGCAGGCGAGGAGGGAGCCAGGACCCTGCGCGCATCCTGCCTGCGGATGGGACGGCATCGGGACGATGGGTGGGGCTGCGCACCCCATGGCTGGGTGTAGGATGGGTGCTGTTTGGGTGCTGGCTCCCATGGCACTCACCAGTCAGCTCCGACGTGTCTCTGGCGGTCAGTGGGTGTCGGGGCTCAGGCTGCTCCCTCGGTCGCTCCCTGCGTCCGAGCTGATCCGGCCCCGGTGCTCAGAGCTTTTATGGCTGATCTGGGGGCACGTTCCTGGAACCCCCAACTTCTGCTTTCCTGGAATGGGGCTGGTATTGCAGTGCCTCTGCAACGGCTCTGGTGACACCAGTGAGACCAGTGACACCAGCAGCACCAGCGAGACCAGTGACACCAGTGAGACCAGTGACACCAGCAGCACCAGCGAGACCAGTGACGCCAGTGAGACCAGTGACACCAATGAGACCAGTGACACCAATGAGACCAGTGACACCAATGAGACCAGTGACACCAATGAGACCAGTGACACCAGCAGCACCAGCAAGACCAGTGACACCAGCAGCACCACCGAGACCAGTGACACCAGTGAGACCAGTGACACCAATGAGACCAGTGACACCAGCAGCACCAGCGAGACCAGTGACACCAGCAGCACCAGCGAGACCAGTGACACCAATGAGACCAGTGACACCAATGAGACCAGTGACACCAGCAGCACCAGCGAGACCAGTGACACCAGCAGCACCAGCGAGACCAGTGACACCAGTGAGACCAGTGACACCAGCAGCACCAGCGAGACCAGTGACACCAATGAGACCAGTGACACCAATGAGACCAGTGACACCAGCAGCACCAGCGAGACCAGTGACACCAGCAGCACCAGCGAGACCAGTGACACCAGCGAGACCAGTGACACCAGCAGCACCAGCGAGACCAGTGACACCAATGAGACCAGTGACACCAGCAGCACCAGCGAGACCAGTGACACCAATGAGACCAGTGACACCAATGAGACCAGTGACACCAGCAGCACCAGCAAGACCAGTGACACCAGCAGCACCACCGAGACCAGTGACACCAGTGAGACCAGTGACACCAATGAGACCAGTGACACCAGCAGCACCAGCGAGACCAGTGACACCAGCAGCACCAGCGAGACCAGTGACACCAATGAGACCAGTGACACCAATGAGACCAGTGACACCAGCAGCACCAGTGAGACCAGTGACACCAGCAGCACCAGCGAGACCGACACCAGTGAGACCAGTGACACCAGCAGCACCAGCGAGACCAGTGACACCAATGAGACCAGTGACACCAATGAGACCAGTGACACCAGCAGCACCAGCGAGACCAGTGACACCAGCAGCACCAGCGAGACCAGTGACACCAGTGAGACCAGTGACACCAGCAGCACCAGCGAGACCAGTGACACCAGTGAGACCAGTGACACCAGCGAGACCAGTGACACCAGCAGCACCAGCGAGACCAGTGACACCAGTGAGACCAGTGACACCAGCAGCACCAGCGAGACCAGTGACACCAGTGAGACCAGTGACACCAGCAGCACCAGCGAGACCAGTGACACCAATGAGACCAGTGACACCAATGAGACCAGTGACACCAGCAGCACCAGTAAGACCGGTGGCACCAGTGAGACCAGTGACACCAGCAGCACCAGCGAGACCAGTGACACCAGCAGCACCAGCGAGACCAGTGACACCAATGAGACCAGTGACACCAATGAGACCAGTGACACCAGCAGCACCAGCGAGACCAGTGACACCAGCAGCACCACCGAGACCAGTGACACCAATGAGACCAGTGACACCAGCAGCACCAGTGAGACCAGTGACACCAATGAGACCAGTAAGACCAGTGACACCAGTGAGACCAGTGATATCAGTGACACCAGTAAGACTGGTGGCACCAGTGATATCAGTGATATCAGTGAGACCAGTGCCACCTGCAGCACCAGTGAGACCAGTGATACCAGTGACACCAATGAGACCAGTGAGACCACTGATACCAGCAGCACCAGTGAGACCAGTGAGACCAGTGATACCAGTGACACCAGTAAGACCGGTGACATGAGTGATATCAGTGACATCAGTGAGACCAGTGGCACCAATGTGACCAGTGACACCAGTGAGAGCAGCGAGACCAGTGAGACCAGTGTTAACAGTGAGATCAGTGTTAACAGTGAGACCAGTGAGATCAGTGAGACCAGTGGCACCAGTGACATCAGTGACACGTCCTGTGGGGCAGCAGCAGTAGGACCGCAGTGTCCTGAGGAGTGGATCATGGCATGGGATAGGTTGGAAGGGAATTACCATGGAGTCAGTGCACCGGCAAGAGAGGGGACAGCAAAGAAGCTCCGTGCGACCACGGGTCCCCTCCCTGAGCTGCTGCTCACGCTCTGGGGGTGCAGCCCAGCACTCGGGGGGGGTTCAGGGCTCAAGCGCACCATGGAGCCGGGTCATGGGGAGCATCTCCTCACGCAACACCCCAGGTCCTTCTCCTCAGGCTGCTCCATCCTGTCCCCCCCAGCCTGTGTTTGTGCTGGGGCCTGCCCTGACCCCGGGGCAGGACCTTGCACTTGGCCTTGTTGAGCTTCATGATGTTCACATGGTCCCACCTTTTCCACCTCGAATGTTCAGCTCTGGGCCCCTCACTACAGGAGAGACATTGAGGTGCTGGAGCGGGGCCAGAGCAGGGCAATGGGGCTGGTGCAGGGCCTGGAGCACAGGGGTGATGGGGAAGGGCTGAGGGACCTGGGGGGTTCAGTGTGGAGAAGAGAAGGCTCAGGGGGACCTGATGGCTCCCTACAAGTGCCTGAGAGGAGGATGGAGCCAGGAGGGGCTGGGCTCTGCTCCCAAGGAACAAGGGATGGGACAAGAGGAAACAGCCTCAAGCTGCCCCAGGGCAGGTTTAGATGGAGCTGAGGAACAATTCCTTCCCCAGAGGGTGCTCAGGCATTGGAACAGGCTGCCCAGGGCAGGGCTGCAGGCACCGTCCCTGCAAGTGTTCACACCCCGTGGAGACGAGGCCTCAGTGCCGTGGGTCAGTGGTGGCCTTGGCAGTGCTGGGAACGGTTGGACTGGATGAGCTTGATGCTGTTTCCCAGCCTGGTTGGTTCTGTGGTTTTATGGTTCCATAGATGTTCTATAGGCAGCTGTATGTGTTGCATAGGAGCATGTGCATATTATGTGGGCATCCATGTATGCCGTATAGGAGCCTGTATGTGATGTGCAGGAGCCTGTGTATGTTGGGTAGGGGCCTATATGAGCTGTGTAGGAGCCCATATGTGTCGTTTAGGCACCTGTATGTTGTGTAGGAGCCTGTTTATGTTGTGTAGGCACCCATATGCTTTGTAGCGTCTGTATATGCTGTGCAGGAGCCCATATGTGTTGCTTAGAAGCCCATATGTGATGTGTAGGAACCCACATATGTTGTGTAGGAGCCCATACATGTGGTGTAGGAGCCCATATGTACTGTGTGGTCCCTCCTGGCACCCGGCACAATTGCCCTTTGGCTGCGCTGATGCTGCTGCTCCTCATCCTCTCATGTTTTGGGAACACACAGACACATTCTGCAGTGTTCTGACCCCCAGCACCACTGCAGCTCACCCGGCTCCAGCACCCGGCCCAGGGATGCCCAGGCCATGACGTGCCTGGAGAGGGGCCAAAGACCATCACCATAGCCAGAATGGGGTGTCCTGGTGTGTTTATCACCTCCAGCATCTTCTCCCCTCAGCACCGGCCATGCTCCCCCTTCAGCACAGCCGGGGCTGAGGCTGGTTTGTGACTGTTGTGGTTGTCAGCTCTTGACACAACCAGGACCCAAAGGCAGGTACTCACTCCCCTGCATCTCCTCTGCATCCCTCCTCTGCATCCCCCCTGCATCCCCCCTCCGCATCCCCTCTGCATCCCCCTCTGCACCCCAGCATCCCACTCCACACCTACCCCTGCACCCCAGTATCCCCTCTGCGTCCCTGCTCCCTCCATCCCACTCTCAGCCTCCCCATCTCCATTTTCCATCGCTGCCAGGGGCTGACATGGCTCTGAGAAGCATCAGGGGCCGTTGCCCACTTCTGCTTTCCTGGAAGGGCAGCTCGTCCTCACTATCATTGTTCTCGTTATCACCGTTATCTCTACCGCCGTTATCGTTATCACCGTTACCGTTATCAGCGTTCTCGTTGTCTCGCTATCTGGTGATCAGCGTTGCGCGGTCCCTGGGCCCTGTCAAGCGCCGCAGGGTCCAGCCAGGGCGGCTCCTTCCCCATCAGTAGCTTTCCATTACAGCCGCTGCCCCGCGCTGCCTGCCAAAACAGCGCTGAGCCCCACGGCTGCCTGCCTATCCCCATAGATGGGTATCAAACCCCATTGCTGTGGGCTGAGTCCCACGGCAGGCGCTGAGCCCAGCCCGTGGCACCGCGGGGAAGTTCTGTTCCTTTCCGGGCCGTGCAGGGTTTGATCTTGGGGCGTGAAGCGCTGGGGGAACCTGGCACAGGACCCCCGGGTTCGGAGCCAGGGACACGGAGGCACCCAGGAACCGGCACCGCGGCCGGGGGTTGCGGCTGCAGCGGGGCCGGGGGCACCCGCGGGCACTGTCCTGCAGAGGAACCCCTGCCCTCATCCCGCACGGAGCTGAGCATCCCCTGCCCTCATCCCGCACGGAGCTGAGCATCCCCTGCCCTCATCCCGCACGGAGCTGAGCATCCCCTGCCCTCATCCCGCACGGAGCTGAGCATCCCCTGCCCTCATCCCGCACGGAGCTGGGCATCCCCTGCCCTCATCCCGCACGGAGCTGAGCATCCCCTGCCCTCATCCCGCACGGAGCTGGGCATCCCGCACGGAGCTGGGCATCCCCTGCCCTCATCCCGCACGGAGCTGGGCATCCCCTGCCCTCATCCCGCACGGAGCTGTGCATCCCCTGCCCTCATCCCGCACGGAGCTGGGCATCCCCTGCCCCCCTGCCGGAGCTGAGCATCCCCTGCCCCTGCACGGAGCTGGGCATCCCCTGCCCTCATCCTGCACGGAGCTGAGCACCCCCTGCCCTCATCCTGCACGGAGCTGGGCATCCCCTGCCCTCATCCCGCACGGAGCTGAGCATCCCCTGCCCTCATCCCGCACGGAGCTGGGCACCCCCTGCCCTCATCCTGCACGGAGCTGAGCATCCCCTGCCCTCATCCTGCACGGAGCTGAGCATCCCCTGCCCTCATCCTGCACGGAGCTGAGCATCCCCTGCCCTCATCCCACACGGAGCTGGGCATCCCCTGCCCTCATCCCGCACGGAGCTGGGCATCCCCTGC